GGCCTCTCAGCAAGGAGAGACCAGGGGATCTGGCCTCTCAGCAAGGAAAGACCAGGGGTTCTGGCCTCTTAGCAAGGAAAGACCAGGGGATCTGGCCTCTCAGCAAAGTGAGACCAGGGGATCTGGCCGAAACAGCAAGGAGAGACCAGGGGATCTGGCCGAAACAGCACTCAGGGGAGGGGCGAAATGGACATTCAGTTGCACTGTTACTGGTTGGTACCATCGGGATTGGAACTCTACACTTGCTGCAGAAGATGGGGATGGAGCACTTATGGTATGTCCCGAGTGCTAAGATATCGATTTTCTCAACATATCAATTTCTTGTTTACCTGGCAAGTTGATTTTTGATCTTGATGCAGATGATCTTGAAGGATCAGCAGCCAATTTTTAAAATAGAATAGTAATCAACGTGGCAGGACTCTCTGATAGCTGATTACATGATTTCAACAGTTTTAGAACCACTCTTGTTTTCTTAATCGGATATTAAGAAGTTAATTAATTATGAGAATAGTCACTTTCATCTGACAAAAGCAGATCAAACAATTGCAATAAGATAATTAGAATAATTGCTTACCTGTAACAAAAGAAACAGTCTGTGAAGCCACTACACATAAAAGCATCACAGCCAGATATTTGTGCTCCATATTTGCTTTATTAGATTTGTTATACTTAAAACAGCTGCTTTGTTTATTTGTGTATCTTTTAATCACAGCAGTACAAAATAATCAAATGTATGATCAATTGTTGTTGGGAGTATATTTACACTTGTTCACTTTTTTAAAGAAAATCAACCCTCATTATTTGAAACTTTGGAGTGTAATAATTTTAATGTAGACCAGTAAGGTCAGCTGCACACAAAAATCACTGTAGAGTTCAGACCGAAGAATTTTGGTGTTATAGATTCCTTGTCTGAAGCCATGTCGCAGGCCAAATGATTGAGAGGGCAACTGGTTGTGTTGTTTGCCCTGGCCGGTAGCTGGGAATGCAAAATGTAATCTGTTCAAGCCAGTGTTTGCTGGCACCTGGGCAAGAAATCACACTGGCTCAGGCTACGGGAATCAACAGCAAACATGGAATGGGGAAATTCAGCTAATCATTGTACAGAAGTAGAACCATACACAGCTAGAGAGAAACGAAGACAGGCACATTGAGCATCTTAAAGTCCCATGCTTAGGCCAAGTGGTTGTAAATGTATTATAAAAACATGAATTAAAAAAAATAATTAGGGCACAAAAAAATAATAAATAAAATTTTATTGTCTGGCATATTTTGCGGTATTTCACCAGTTCACTGGCACAGGCTATGAGAATCAACAGCAAACATGAAATGGGGAAATTCAGCTACTCATAAGACAGAAGTAGAACTATACACAGCTAGAGAGAAACAAAGGCAGTCACAATGAGCATCCTAAAGTCCCATGCTTGTGTAAAGTGGTTGTAAATGTATTATAAAAATGTGAATTTTTAAAAATAATTAGGGCACAAATATTGCAAAATTTTATTGCCTGGCATATTTTGCGGTATTTCATCAGTTACATGTATTATCATTTAATTCACAGTGAAAAATTATTATTATGCTTTTGTGTGTGTGTCTGAATTGTTTATCATTAGTAGGCGCCGTCTCCTTGTGGGATGCAATTGTTTGTTATTTTGAAGCCCCACCCTTGCTTTCACTGGGAGCTCTCTAAATATAGCCGGGCCATTAATATGGGCTAATGGCTGAACAGGGTTTCCGGGACCTCTCCACAGGTGATCCTCATCCGCATGGTGGCACTTTGTGTCACCAGGTGTTTATCACATGTGTGATGTCCTGGTGGGGTAAAACTAACTTACTGTATTGTTTTTGTTTTAGATATCTAAAGTAAATAGTTGTTTTAAATAAGAGTGGATAATAGATGTGTCTGATGATTCATAATTGGGAAGAAAATGGTATTATCGTGTCTGACTCGTAATCCAACGTACCGCGATCGAAACCTGCGTGGGCTGCGTGGATTTTTATCGTGGTATGGGACGTCGCAGGTCGACCCAGCCTCAAATGGGTACCAGGATGGGCTGTCCTGGGAAAGAAAAGACAGCCGGCGTAATGCTGACCACATTACCCACCGTGTGCTGATTGGTCTGTAAAAATATGGGTGCTCTTCCCATATGCCCGATGCGCCTAAGGGCGTGTAAAGGGATCTTTACTTTACTTTACTTACATTTTTAACAGCACAGAAGTTGATATGCACACACACTGTAGTTGTACAGTTCAAGTAGTTGTCTCAAATCTTGTGAAGAAGATGTCTGAAAGCAATTGTTGACATGTTGATGATGGGCTCAAACATTTCACAGAGGAGAGTGGAAGAGTCAACATTCTCAGTTTGTTTAGACTAGAAGCTCTGACAACAGAAACCAACATTGAGTGTGTGGTCTCTTAGTGCAAATACACATATTCTCTCTACTTGAGCCAGGAAACAGGAACTCATGTCACAAGCTATGCCATTTGGCTATTTCTGTTTGTGTTATTTGGGTCACTCATGACAATTTTGCTGGTTAACAGGCAATAACAGTCAGTGGTCAGTGTATTTGCTTTAGTCAGGTTTTACTGGTCATAGATTGTCATGTTTCATTAGCTTTTATTGTTCTGTTGCTGCGGCTGAAGTTTATCACATTTGCATATAACATGACATTTTGCAGCAACACAAAATAAAACATAAAATTGTACTTTTCTTATGAAAGGATAAATGATTCCGGAAGACTTTGTAGTCAGTTCATCCAACAGTAAACTCAAATAGTATGGTAACACTATAGTCAGTTTTCAGTGTCTCTTTATCATCTCTGTCTCTCTAGTCTATGCATATCATTTAATATATCAGCATCTTTCATATTAACCTTTTGATCCCATAAAAATCTTTTTACAAAGACCTAGTTCAAAATTCCTTTAAAAAAGATTTTTTTTTAAAAAGGACTTTGTTCAAAATTTTCTTGTGTGAGTTCCACTGCCTACCCAAAAGCATGTCGTAAGAGTTGACTAATTGGGAGCTTCCTTCGAAGTCAGAGTGCATCTGCCTGAGAGGCAAGGAACCAGCAGTCTGCATACAAATGAGTCAGATCTGTAAAACAGATGCACATGTAACACTCAGGTTCTGAAACAGGACTGCAGTCCAGAAGTGGATGAACAACCAGAACTTTCTGCCAGAGTTTACAGCTGGTAAACAGGAAGAAGAAGAAAGAAGATGACAAAGAAGAGTGTGTTCAAAATGTTTTTAAAAAGAAGTGCATCTTTATGAAACTCTGATCTGAGAAACAAAGTGACATCATAGGACATTGTTATGACATAATGATGGTTTCCCAATTTTACACAAATGTATTTTTTTTTAACCCCTAATAATATCTCACAGTTGTTTGAGGTTTTGTCTGTGTGCATGTGTGTGTGTGTGTGTGTGTGTGCATGTGTGCGTGCATGTGTGTGTGCATGTGTGTGTATGTATGTGTGTGTGCATGTGTGTATGTGTGTATGTGCATGTGTGTGTGTGCATGTGTGTGTGTGTGCATGTGTGTGTGTAGTGGGGGGAGGGTCAATACTCACTATGTTAAACACCATGCAGTTTACAGCTAGTACTAAAGCTGCTATACAGGCATAATGGCCAAAAACTTCATGCCATCCGATCACCATAAATCTCCAGACAAATGACTTTCTCTTGTTGTTAAGAATACAAGACTTGTGTGACTTTTCTGCTCAAAGCAGCTCCCATTAACCCTACCACATCTACATCTGTATTATGTAATTACTTTTCAACACATGCTCAGACCATAGTAGCTTCTGTTGTCTATATATTTCCTTTGTGTTTTAACCTCTAATGGCAACTGATTATTTTGGCTGTTTATGCTTCTTGGGCTCACTTCCACAAAAATCAGGTTTCCTGTATCACCACGTAGCAAATAGTCATTTGTGCCTTGTAAAATCCACTCCTTATTTTCATTCAGTGATTGCACTATAGATACATGAAAAGTTGGTGCATTTACTGTCCCATTGCCATTTCATCATCATCATCAAGTGCCTTGCCGGCTGGTGTGGGTGATTATGCATCTTCACAATCTGCGATCCTCAACTGCTTGTATCAGTTGGTATGTTGACATCCCTCCATGCCATCACAAAAGACTGTCAAGAAATTTCTCACTCTGTCTTCCCGTGTCTCTCTGTCCCCAGATCTGTCCAGTGGTCACAACATGTTCCAATTTCCCACTTCTCATAACATGACCAAAAAAATGATGACTGTCTGTTTCTGATGTTTGTATCAGTTGTCTTCAAGCCCTTACCTCTTTCAAAACCTTTTGGTTGCTGTTTTTACCTGTCCAAGCAATTCTAAGGATTCTTCTGTAAAATTACATCTTCGAGGCCTTGAGAAATTTTTTTCGGGATGTTTATTAATCAACCAGGGTTCACACCTGTAAGTTAAAACTGGCTCTGTATAGCATGCGAGAATTCTTTTCTTAACCTCCAGACATGGATGTATTGCACAAAATATTCTTCATTTTATAAAAGACACTTTTGGTCTTTCATTTTCTGCTCTTTATCTCTGTGATACATCTTTCATCAGATGTCTATGTGCCTTTTTGTTTTGGTTGCGTATCCTTTACAGGACGTTGCAGAACCAACCCCAGCCCCTGGCTGTTGTTTTTTGTAGTTTTTCTAGGCAAATTTACGTCCAGTATTTTGTCATTGCTTTCTGGACGGTCGGCTTTCTTGATAACACTGTAGAAACCAATGCAAGGCGCATGGCCTGCAGCTGGTATAGAACCCGGCATTACGAAGCGTTCGCATCGACTTAGCCACAAAGCCGACTTCTATGTGCCTAGACACTTAAATTTCAGTACTTATCTTAAAATAATGTTGCCATGTGCCTATTGATAATCAGGGTATTGGATCGATTTGAACTGCTAAAAATGTTCAACTCATATGACAAGAAAAGGAACAAAAGTGCATTCATGTTTTGTGAGTCATTTTATTTCTTCTTTCAGAATGAGTTGTTTCTGTTGGCAACAGACCAAGGCTTTCTGACAGAGAGTAATGTAGTCTGGGAGACATTGTCAACTGTGGATGGCGACTGCCACTTCACAGATGCTACGTTCAGAACATACACAAAGCCCGCACCTGCCACCACTCCAGTTCCTGATTCAAGTGTGCCAGTTGGTAGCCCAGAGCAAATCGACCATGAGTAAGTCTGCTTATTGTTTTCTTTCATTCAACTTGTACTCATTATGAGGGTCAGCACGTTATAAGCGTCAGCGGTTGTTATTTTTCGTCAATCACGAGTGATAAAGATTACTTTTCATCCAAAGCATAAATGATTATGAGTACAAAGGTAGCTGATTAGTCCAGTATGAACCCGGAAAGTTCTTGAGCAGTGCAGACAACAGTTGGAAGCTGCAGTAAATGTGGGTTAGTGATATGGTTCTTTCTAGTCTGCCTCCGTTTCTCTGCCAGTGCAACCTCTGCTGCCTGGCAGGCTGATGCACCATCCTGGACGGTCTTGTGCAGCAGCCTCCCACGATGCTGTGTTGATGCCAAAAGAATTGAAAGCAGTCTTGAGAGTGTCCTTATAGCGCTTTTTCTGTCCTCACTGGGACCTCTTCCCTTGCCGAAGCTTGCTATAAAACACTCTTTCAGCACATTATAAGTCCCCGCACATTATAAGTGTCAGCACATTAAAAGTTTCAGCATTCACTATAACAGAGCAGTAGGTCCAGCCTGCTGATGTATTCAAAGTAGTAATGAGATGATATTGTTCGAGCTGTTTGTTTTCTCGTTGGATTAAGTGCTATCTAGTAGCTCCACACATAAATGTGTATAAAGATTGTCTGATATAACAAATCTTTATACAGACATGAGAATGTCTTTTTTAACAGATCTATATACCGACACAATATTATTTGTGGGGGGGGGGGGGGGGTGGGTATCACAGATCTGTAAGTAAACATTAGATTAACAATTGAAATAAATATGTATATAAACATGTGATTATCTGTTGTAATGGATCTGTATAGACATTAGATTGTCTCTTGTAACAGATCTGCATAAAGTCACAAGATTGCCTGTATACAGACCCAGTTATCTATTCTATTAGATCTAGATACAGACAGAACATTTTCTATTTTAACAGATGTCTTTTATAACAAATTTGTTACGGAAACAAAATTATCTATTGTAACAGATATGTAAAAAGACACATGATTGCCTATTACAACAGAATTCCAAATAGATGTGAGTTTGTCTAGTATAACAGATCTGAAGTTCACAGAAAATATTAGTTTCTATTTCAGTCCTTGGAAATCTTTTGCTAGTGTGATTGCTGTATCATTCTGATTATTTTGGGATCCAATTATAATTTGATGTTACTTTTTCCATGAACACGATCTGCTGTCCCTTTTTGGCTAAACCTATCTAGGTCACCTGTTGGTCTGTCTTCCATACTATAACTATCATCCTAAGATTGAATTATTAAGTAGGTGTTCTACTGTGTCATCTGTAGTGTCATCTGTGTGCCAGTATTTGTGACTTGCCAGCTGAGTTCAGCACATGACATTTTAAAGGGTCCTCTAGGTCCAAGATCCTCTACCAGTTCAGTTCTGGTTCTGCTCGCAGTCATTTGTGTGTACAGTCAAGTCAAGTCAATAACAACCCTTTTCATGTCAGTGGGGCATATGGTGCTAGACTTGAATGTTTATGAACTAATCGGCACTCAGCGGATGATGAGGGTCGACATCTCGTAAGTCACCTTTGCTTCACAGGGCATTAACTGGTACTCATTTTAGGCTGGATCGACTTGGGAGCCATGGTTATTATTAACAAAATTAACCTGGTGTGGATTTGAACTCAAGACCTTCAGGCCGGCAGGGAACTGCCTAGCCACTGAGGCTCTCTTTTTCTCTCACACACATGCACATGCACATGGATTCTTTCTCTCTCTCTCCTTTCTCTCTCTCAGAGGAAGCTCTCTCTCTGTCTCTCTCAGAGGAAGGGGATGATCTACAGCAGGGCTGTTCAGCTAAGGTTAGTCCGGGCCAACATTTTGAAAAAAGGGATCGTCCTGGACCAAAGGCTCGAGCTCCAGTATAAAAGTAAGTAAAAGTAAAGTAAAGATCCCTTTCCATGCCTTTAGGCATATCGGGCATATGGGAAGAGTGCCCATATTTTTACAGACCATCAGCACTCGGTGGGTAATGTGGTCAGCATTACGCCGGCTGTCTTTACTTTCCCAGGACAGCCCATGCTGGTATCCATTTTAGGCTGGGTCGACCTGCGACGCCCCATACCATGAAAAAAATCTACGCAGCCAGCAGTGGGTTTCGATCACGGCACGCTGGATTACGAGTCGGACTCGCAACGTCTAAGCCACGGATGCCGCAGCTCTAGCATAGAAAGATCATTAACACCATACACTTAGTAATGATCTGTGTGCCACTTGCTAGGCCTAAACGGGCCACATTAGGCTGCCAGTTGAATAGCCCTGACCTACAGGAAGGAAGGTCAGGTGCCTCACAATCATTTCCTTAACAGCTGAAAGAAGTGGGCTCCAGAACTACCCCTACTTTTTGAACTTCCATAATGCCTCACAGTTCATTATATGTTTTTTAATGAAAACTTCTTCTGCAGTTATCAGGTGGCGTTGTTTCTTCAAGAAGAAGATGCCTCACTGCAAAATCAAGCTTGGGGCAGTGGGCTTCCTCAGGAGCAGACATCTTACACTGACGCAGAGTAAGTAGACTTGTTTGATCTCCCCTGTAACTAGCCTTTGTTGTGCACAGTGCTACAGTGTTCATCTCAGTATTGAGTGTAACAGCTGGACGTGTAAGAGTCATCTGAGATCTTTTGCTAGTTCACATGTGGCAACCCAAAACAGATAATTCTCTACAAATATCAAAGAGCTGACAATGAAACACATCAGATGCTGAGTATATTTAACACTGCTTAGCAGTTGATTAATGAAACTATGTGGAGCCTCTAATGGAAGGAATTTGAAACCATTTCTGTGTCAGAAGTATACATTACGCCATGAAGTCAAATCAACAAGCAACATTTATTTTCAAAGAATATTCATCTGTATTGTAAAAAATAAGAACAATGTTGACTGCAGCAGGATAGCATAATATAAACAACCAGAAGAAGCATGCGAGAAACAAGTACAGATGTTTTCACTATACTTCACAGGGATGTCAGATGAGGACAAAATTTTTAGTAAAGTAAAGTAAAAGTAAAGATCCCTTTCCACGCCTTTAGGCGTATCGGGCATATGGGAATAGCGCCCATATTTTTACAGACAATCAGCACTTGGTGGGTAATGGGGTCAGCATTATACCTGCTGTCTTTACTTTCCCAGGACAGACCATCCTGGTACCCATTTTAGGCTGAGTCGACCTGCGACGCCCCATACCATGATCAAAATCCACGCAGCCAGCAGTTGGTTTCAATCGCGGTGAGCTGGATTACGGGTAGGACTCACAACGCCTTAGCCACGGACGCCGCTGGACGAAATGTTTGGTGATACAAATTATCACTAGTGAATGAAACCAAATTAATATTTACCGATATATTTAAAATACATGTATGGGCACTCCCCACCATCCAAGGAGGCTTCCCTAAATGCAAAGTCTGATACATGGTGCTCTAGTACTGGGCTCGCCCAAGGACTTGACATGTTGTGCTTTTGTTTGGTGAACCTCACATCCCGCATATTGAATCTTCCACTCAATATGGGCTTCACCCTTTTAGGGATCTCTAAAGAAGCAGTCTGCACACCTGAGACTCTCTTGTCATGCTCAAATGGGCATGTGACTTCCTCAGCTTGTTAGATTTCTCTCTTTGATGGTAGCACCTTTCCTGTGCATGCCCTGGGAACTGTTTGTGGCAATAATGGGAAGCAAACTTTAGGTATGGCAACAGATGTGACATTTGGTAGTGGATGTTTGAACCTTTTTGACCATAAAGTAGGATAAAGCTTGTTGTAAAAAGTAGCAGCTGAGATGAACTCTGTTGCTGAAAATTAGTTAGTTTTGCAGCTGTAGGCACTACATCTGTATAACAGCTTGTGTACTAGTTGCAGCTGCGTAGTGAGTAGATATGGTGTGTGTGAGATTATATATTATTATAAGGGGGGGGGGGGCACCCTAAACTTAATAGGTATTATGTGGTGAGAAAAAAGAGGCTTTTTATTATTATTTATGATGTCACCATGATGTCATAACCTCATGACCAGACTTTGCTCCAACTAGCCTTGTCAGTAAACACATTATTCATGGTTAAAATGGGAAGGAAAGCAGTTACTTTTTTACGCTGTGTGTATTTAGTGATTACTTTCCTTCGTATAAAGGAAAAAATAAACTACGCGCAATAAATGATTAAAATAATAAAAGTACATTTTTGTAGCAACTTGATGGCTGCAGCCTGGCAGTGGACATCACATTTGCTTGCCTGCATGGTGGTCACAGGTTTCAGCCCCCTGGATTTTTGTCAAAACTGACCAAGGCTCCAATTTTTTTGTTTAAGCTGTTTCTTCTCTTTCTTGAGTTCTTGGACTAGATTTTCAGAAAATATAACAGTGCATTATTTTATTAACTTTCCTTCCTTTTCAGGATGAAATTTTTCGTTATTTGAAGCCCTACTCTGGCTCTTGCCAGGGGCCGCACTATAGCCTGGCCATAAATATGGCCTAAAGGCTGAACGCGGTTTCTGGGACCTCTCCACGGTGATCCTCATCAACATGGTGGCACATCGTGTCATCGGGTGTTTGTCGCTTGTGTGATGTTCTGGTGGGGTAGAAAGTCAGTCAGTCAGTTATAACAGTGCATTTCTTTTAAATGAAATTGGAGAATTTAAAAAAAAAAAAATTTTTTTTTAATTTTATACACATTTTTAAGGTGTCAAAGGGTTAAATCTTTTGATTCCTCGGTTGTAGGAACATGGTCAAAACATATAGGTCTGCACTGAGAACCATTTCATGAAATTCTGCAGCTGAAATACAGTGTAGTTAACCATCGTTTACACATCCCCCATTGTCCACCATAAGTTTAACAGCTTTCTTAAATTGCAGGTTTTAGTAGGAAAATTAGTTAGTTAGTCAACAGAATATCCTCGCTGCACATTAAACTATTCAAACTTGGGGGGTTTAGTTACAGTCTAATAGTTCAACTCATTACTAACATGGTTTTTTTTTTTTTTTTTCAGTCATGAATATGCAATGCGTTTGCAAGAAGAAGAAAACCGGCAGATTGCAGAACATGAAAGAACAGCAGGGGTAGCTGCTTCAGATACAGCCTCACAACATGGTCAGGGTAATTATCTGGGCCGTGCGTCGCCTGCTGAAGGACCACGCAGAAGGGTTGAACGTGCAGAGCGTAAAGAAAAGGAAGATAAAAGTGTGAGTAACAGTCTGTATTATTTAATATTTTTAGTTTTTGTGTCAGCTGTAAATATTTTTGATGTACGGTCATTGAATCTTATCACTGAAGTTGTTTCTAATAATCTGTCTTTGCTTTGTGATTGTTTAAGATTACTCATGGGTACATTTTGTTTTTAATAGAGTTTCTAAATCTTTAAATTAAATTAAATTAAATTGTATCATTCAAATTTAGGGGTAACACAAAAACTGAAAAATAGGGGTGACTACAGTTAAGCATATATTAAGAAGTAGCTTCAACTTAGGTCAAAATGTTTGATTGTATTGTTCACATATTTTATTTTGTTGAGCTTTCTAGTCATAGTCTGTGTTGCATTTACTTGATTAACCAAGTATGTAAGACAGACTATTCCTGCCACCAATCAGTGAGCACACACAGACTATTCATGCCACCAATCAGTGAGCACAGCTGAGCCTTCAACTTTTCAGTGTTCTCGATTACAATTTGTGTACCACTCCCAGATGCTTGGCTTATTATGAGTGTCTTTCTACATAGCTTATTTGATGGTTTGTGCATATACAGCTTAACAGAGGCTGCTTCCGAATCCATTACAGTATGTTTTAAACCATTTAATATTATATCACTGCTTTTCTTTTTGCCTTATAGCATCAGAATACAAAGATCCTTCTGCATCAAGCTTCTAGCCTCCTGCACCATGTGTTGTTCATTATTTTAATTGTACCAACCATCCTCTTTTTTTAAAGACATACTTTTGCTGTTAGTACATTTGACTTGTCTCATCACTCATTCTGATATATAATTTCTTAGTGCATTTGACTTGTCTCATCACTCATTCTGATATATAATTTCTTAGTGCATTTGACTTGTCTCATCACTCATTCTGATATATAATTTCTTAGTGCATTTGACTTGTCTCATCACTCATTCTGATATATAATTTCTTAGTGCATTTGACTTGTCTCAACGCTCATTCTGAAATATAATTTCTTATATATAATTCCTTAGTGCATTTGACTTGTCTTATCACTCATTCTGATATATAATTTCTTAGTGCATTTGACTTGTCTCATCACTCATTCTGATATATAATTCCTTAGTGCATTTGACTTGTCTCATAACTCATTCTGATATTTAATTTCTTAGTGCATTTGACTTGTTTTATCACTCATTCTGAAATATAATTTCCTATATATAATTCCTTAATGTATTTGACTTGTCTCATAACTCATTCTGATATATAATTCCTTAGTGCATATGACTTGTTTCATCACTCATTCTGATATATAATTTCTTTCCTGTTGGTTTTGTATGCTCAGGTCAGATCGTCAGGGTATATAATGAGAAATATATATATTTATATAATACTATGGTTTATATAGTTCACATATGAGTTACTAGATAAAGTTATAAACATATTTGAAGGACTCTATGAAGGATACCAATGCAAAGTGAAAGTAGAATGCATGGAAACAGAATACCTCAGGATAACATCAGGAGTCCGACAAGGGGGCATTCTGTCACCTTTCTTGTTTCTCATAGTGATAGATTAAGTTACGAAGAAAGCAACCACAGGTACACGGACGGGCCTTCAGTGGAACCTTCTCGAAAACCTGGACATTTGGACTTTGTAGATAATGTCTGTGTCATCAATCAAAGTAAAAAACATCTGCAACAAAAGACAAATAAGATCACAGAAATAGCAAAACAAACAGGGTTAAGAATCAGTGTCAATAAAACAAAATTGCTGGAGGTAAATCCCCCCCCCCCTCCCAAAAAAAAAAGACCTATAGTAATAGATAATGTGAGTTTGGAAACAGTAACTGACTTCACTTACCTGGGAAGCAATATTTCCTCGGATGGAAATGTAGTTGAAATCAAGCAGAGAACTGCAAAGGCAAACGCTGCTTACCATACACTTCAGAGTGTCTGGAGATCAAGTATCTACAACACTAAAACCAAATTCATGATGTACAAAACATGCGTTAGGACAGTTCTCCTCTATTGAGCAGAAACTTGGAAAACCCACAGAAAGATAGAGAGCATGTTCAGAGGTTTTGAGGGAAGACTTCTCAGTAGATTGTTGGGGTTCACATGGGAAGATAAAATCAGCAATTCTAGGTTACAACAAATGACAGACTTAAAAGATTTAAATTTAGAAGTCAGAAGATGAAGGTGGATTGGACACCTCTTCAGAATGAAGAAAGAGATATGGCAGAAACAAGCAATGCAATGGACACCACAAGGACAACAAGGAAGAGAGGCAGGCCCAGAGGCACTTGGAGGCAAACCATTGAGGCTGAAGTCAAGGCTACGTGAAGGATAAAACTGGAGATAGAGAGGATGGCTCAGGATCAAATTAAGAGGCAATAGTTTATCTCTGCCTTATGTGCCTCTGGGTTGGATGAGGATTGATTAAGTAGTTCATTACTCATCTTGTATGTTAATTTTCACTCAGATTTTAGTTTTGTTTCTGTTCATGCTATGTGATTTCAGTTTTGTTTTCAACATTTATGTTGATACTTTAAGATGGTGTATGTGGTACAAATCATCTATATTAGCTTTTCTTGTTTAAATTGCTATTAGTGCTTGATCGTCTGTGTAAAGGGATTGATTAGTGCTGTTACTTTTGTTAGGACTGACTTCTTTGTATATATACACTTTGTAGGTTATTGTTATAAACAAAGATCAACCACTCCAAAAACTGTATCACATAGAATGTTAAATCTTAAAAGTGATGTATAGATTGTAAGATTCTTGTAATTTTGTTATTGTTGTAAGCTCCTACAACTTAAATATAACTTCATTGCCCATAATTTAATTACACAAGAATAACTGTTTCTTGTTTCTTGTCCACAGTGCTTGATACTCTGATATTTCAACAGACATCAGACTACACTGAAATGACTCAGAGCACCTTACTACTTCCCACTGTGATCATTAGTTTGTGATAATTTGCTGGAATGCACTGCAGAAATGTATCAGCTGTGAACGGAGTGATACAAGTGAAATTAAATGGCTGAAAACTGCAAGTAGATGTAGAACTGTTAAGGATACTCACTATAGTACAGGTGTATTTTTTTTTCTACAGTGATCAGAGAATATATTCTGTAAATAATACTGTTTTTGTTATTTGTATGGTTTTCTCTAACAAACGGTTTGATCATCTTGCTCCATTCTTCTTACTTCATTGTAATATTTTTTTATCGGTTGACTTGATTGTCCATCATTACTATAGATTCAGTGAAAATGAATTATCAGAGAGTCAGTAACTGAAGTATAAAATTGTAGAAAGGTGATTTTATTTAACCTTGCAAGTACCAACATCCGACATAAACTGCCTTTGCATTGTAATTTAAATGATACAGTTACCCTGATTCTTCTACTTGATACCAAACAAAATACTGCTTGTTGTAAACAGGATAATGCACAGTAAGTGATCACATTAGGTTATCAGTATTTTAGATTTTTCAGCCTGATTGCCTGTATGTTTTCTCTACTTGTGTTCCTCTCCCAGCTCTCTATATTTGTAAATACTTTCCTTGTAAATCTGGAGAAACATGAGTTGGTCATTTTGGTTTTGCGATGCTATTTGTCATATTTATTTTATTTGTTTATATCGTTACAAAGATTATTCTTCATAAACATTTGAACACCTCAGTCAAATATTAGAGTTGATTTGAATTTAAAGTGAGGAAAGAGTGTAAAAAAGGTTATATAAAACCTGCACTGGTTCATGTTAATCATAGACAACAAGCAGGCAAGCCAAGAAACATCTAATGGCGGCCAGAGTACGTGTGTTCTCTAAGGTTAATTCCAAGGAACATGCAGAACCAAATGAGACAGTCTCAAAGATACACATGAAAGCCCTAAAATATTTGAGAGAAATTAGATGCCGACAGTCGAGAGTTTTGCGATATGTTATGAGAAGAAAACTTTAAAATATAATGGCAGCTGACTTAATGGAACAGGAGCAAAAGGGACGACAAAAATATAAATACCTCAATGTTGGAACTAGTTTTCTTATGAACATTATGTCATTAATGACTAACTTGAAAACTTATGACAAAAATACGACATGATGGAAATAAAATGTCTACTACAAAAATTCCAAGTGTAATTAGATTGATAAAGTGTGAAACTACAGTAAGTAACATGATTCAGTCATATAGAAGGATTTCTTGCACTAAAGTAAAGGTAAAAGTCATATAGAAAGATTTCTTGCACTAAAGTAAAGGTAAAAGTCATATAGAAAGATTTCTTGCACTAAAGTAAAGGTAAAAGTCATATAGAAAGATTTCTTGCGCTAAAGTAAAGGTAAAAGTCATATAGAAAGATTTCTTGCACTAAAGTAAAGGTAAAAGTCATATAGAAAGTTTTCTTGCACTAAAGTAAAGGTAAAAGTCAAATAGAAAGTTTTCTTGCACTAAAGTAAAGGTAAAAGTCATATAGAAAGATTTCTTGCACTAAAGTAAAGGTAAAAGTCATATAGAAAGATTTCTTGCACTAAAGTAAAGGTAAAAGTTATATAGAAAGTTTTCTTGCACTAAAGTAAAGGTAAAAGTCAAATAGAAATTTTCTTGCACTAAAGTAAAGGTAAAAGTCATATAGAGAGATTTCTTGCACTGAACTCACAATGGAAACGGAGCAGAGATTCTCCGTAAATAGTGGAGTGATGAAACTAACCAAGGCTGTGAATACTACTGCACAGGAAGCATACATGCGAGTCTGCTCCAGATCTTTTTCTATAAACTAATAAGTAAAGTAAAAGTAAAGTAAAGGACCCTTTTCCAAGCCTTTAGGCGTTTAGGGCATATAGGGCTAGACCTATATTTTTATAGACCAATCAGCACAAGATGGATGATGTGGTCAGCATCACCCCGGCCGCCTTTACTTTCCCTGGATTGCACCCGGTACCCACTAAAGGCTGGGTCGACTTGGGAGCCAAGGTCATTATTGAAAACAGTCCGGCTCCGCTAGGGAGCGAACCCGTGACCTTCTGATCCGCGGCGAGTGTTTAAACTAATGTTTCAGACTAAATATGAATAGAAACCAGTGAAAGAATGAGAAACAACTCATAAACAACACATCATTGCTAAAAAGGTTTTGTTTGTGAAGTGCATAATAGATACTTTTTTTTTTAAATTGTAAATATTGATTTTTTTTTTATTAAAGGAAGTATACATACAAAGAGGAGGGACACAACAAATGACAGAAGGTCAGAAGACTACATCTAGCTAAGCTGTGATGAAACTGTTTTTTATTTGACTCTTTTTGTCCTCTTAGCTACTGGCATATTTCAGACTGGATGAACTTATTCAAGAATTCTATTCTGCATTGTCTGGATATAATTTATTCCTTTATTGATAACATTCCCTGTACAACATTGCTGGTCAGCAGGTTACATTACTCTCTGTCTGTGTAAACAAATTGTGCCAGTGTTCCCCCAGATTCTTCATGTTGTTTTATCATGTTGTTAATATCTAGGTCTCAGTCCTGTGTGGTTTTGTTTGTGCTTGGTGTTCTCTCATGGGTATATGTCCTTTTTCTTTGCTATATTTCTGTAAAGTTTCATTTGATATTGATGATTTGTTTTTGTATCTATGAGCTCCACTCATTTAGTCTGGAGAATTGAACTCCGATGTTTAGCTGGTTAAAATTGCAGTGTGACTGTGAAGTTGAATCATCATAAATATGTTGCAGATAGAAGGAGCTCAAGTAATTATTATCTCTGATCTTCATACTGAAATTCTCATATTTTATTCTTTCTGTTCTCAAACCACTTGATCTCAGTAATGTCTCCAGTTATTGATTTGTTTCGTTATCATTTACTTATGATTTTGTTAACTTGTCAAGGAATCTATAATGTTATAGAAGATAGCACTTGCATAACAACACAATGATTTTGTTGGCTTGTCAAGGAATCTTTAATGTTATAGAAGATAGCACTTGCATAACAACACAATGATTTTGTTGGCTTGTCAAGGAATCTATAATGTTATAGAAGATAGCGCTTGCATTACAACACAGCGACTTAGGCCCATTCCTCACTAGTGGCAGGTTATGTTTCCAACAAGTAAAAGTTCTGGGATGAGCAGATATGGAGTTTTGATAACTTTCTTCATTGTTTTTGTGACAGAAAGGCTGTGAGTGGGCAAGTTGATAAACTACACCTCATTGTGCAGTCACCTTCATATCCATGCTGTGTTCTGATCATATGAACAGTCAAAATATTCAGATTAAACATTTTTAAAAATTTCCCGTTTTTTTCTTTTCCATTGGTGAGTCATAAAATGACATCAGGTCTTTTTAGGAAAGGGATAGACTTATAAGAAAGCCATCACTCTTTATCTCAGGAATGTCAAAACTGCAGAAGTGGCTCAAGACTAATTTTATCTAAGAATTTTGTCCAGGATATTATTATATAAGCAGACAGCATCTCATGTTGTGGGAACTAGATGTAAATGGGACCCACTGAAATAGAGGAGTTGGACATCAGAGTAATATCAAGTCAAAGACCCTCCCACAATATATGTAACCCCAACTATGTTTCACAGTAAAGATGAAGAAGCATTCTTGTAGAACCACAGTACACACTCATAGTTAAAATAATAAGAATTTATTGACCAGAAACTGAAACATCATTTATTATGAACTACAACCGGGGCCAAAAATCTAATACAGTGCCAGGGCCTTATGGTTCACAAGTCTACAGAAAAGAGAAAACATTTTGAGATTTTTTTTTTAGATATTTTGAACAACCGATCAACATCAAGGCATACGGGTAGTAACTCATAAGTGCTATGTTCTTCTTCTAACTGAAGTCTGAGTGCAAAGAAGCTCAGCTCAGTGCACAGGCAAACAAATCAAGAGCTTGACAAAATTGCTGCTATAATTATAGCAAATTAATGATCTTGTTAATCTGGCTCACATCATTGCTTCTCTCAGTTGAAGTTCCGGTTATAGGCTTATGAATGAACATCTAGATAGTAGTTCACAGGATTCTGGATACACTTCAGCATCATGAGCAGCGAGTTTACTGTCATTCAGACAGTCAGCAGGTTCAGGTTTTGAGTTCTGCTCTTCTCTTGGATCAGGCTGGAGTATTTACACATACAGCAGAAGCCAGATAAGGTACTGGTATTAAGGCAACTTGCCAATTTGTTCAGGTTTTGAGTTCTGCTCTTCTCTTGGATCAGGCTGGAGTATTTACACATACAGCAGAAGCCAGATAAGGTACTGGTATTAAGGCAACTTGCCAATTTGTTCAGGTTTTGAGTTCTGCTCTTCTCTTGGATCAGGCTGGAGTATTTACACATACAGCAGAAGCCAGATAAGGTACTGGTATTAAGGCAACTTGCCAATTTGTTCAGGTTTTGAGTTCTGCTCTTCTCTTGAATCAGACTGGAGTATTTACACATACAGCAGAAGCCAGATAAGGTACTGGTATTAAGGCAACCAGCCAATAGGTTGGTGGGTTCAGGATCTGTTCCAGGGTTATCCAGAGTTTGTCTCTGCCTTTTGAATCACTTGTTGGTGATAGGTAACACTCATCCGAGGACTGATTGAAGACTGGTTAAGTCAACAGCCAGTGGATTCAGGATCTAGGTCTGAGTCTGCCCATCTATTAGATCAGACAGACTGAAATCTCCTTCATATACACCCAGTATTTGGCAGATCATAGACTGGCATTAATGCAGCCAGCCAGTGGGGACCACCCTCATGCCTGTAACAACATAACAAAATCTGGATATTATCCATTCTTTGTCTCGAATGGTTTACGGCAATAAATGAATCATTGTGTCATATTTATATCCGAGTTATCCAGCATATTCAGATCCTCACCACAAGATAGAACCTCTCCACTTTGACAG